GAAGGAAGGATGGTGACACGTTTCAATACCTGCGTCGCCTGTAATGGACTTAATTTCTAAGCTCCTGAACCCGGAACAGGGCAGGATCTCATCAGGAAGCTTGTGCAATTTTCTGGGAGCTTCGTGCTGAGTTTGGGCGCTTGGTTTCCAACTCCTGCTCAGGCAGAGGGAGAGCCATCAGCCTCCCCCTCCCCAGCCCCGCCCACACTCTGCCCCTGAATGCAGCAGCAAACCCCAGGAGCCAGACCTGCAGGTTAATTCAATGTTAAGTGCTCAAATTTGCTTTTTAAATTCCAAATGTTTAGCCTATGTAATTTAACAAAGTAGGTAGCCTCTCCATAGTGGACTTTATTTTATGTACTTATTTATTTATTTGTTTTGTTATAAATCCTCACTCCATAATATTTTTCCATTGGTTTTTAGGGAGAGTGGAAGAGAGGGAAAGACAGAGAGAAACATTAATGTGAGAGAAACACATAGACTGATTGCCTCCTGCACGGCCCCAACCAAGGCCCAGACTGGGGAGGAGCCTGCAACCAAGGCACATGCCCTTGGCTGAAATCGAACCCAGGGCCCTTTGGTTCAACACTCTATCCACTGAGCCACTCAGCTAGGTTTATCCTTGTTTTAAAGTTGTTGACTTTCCCTTGTGGCCATAACACCTTCCTTCTGGTCCAGAGTGGACACACCAATTGACCTTTATTCCATTGACAATTTCTGAAATTTATCTCATGATCATTTTTTGTCTATTCTTTCTGTGTGCTGAAGACTAACTTGTTTTTATCTGCATATACGTCCCCAAAGTATTTTGCTGTTGTCTTTGTTGACACTGACAGTTTGTTTGGTGGCTTTGCATCACTTAAGCTTTTCAAAGACGCTCAGCTTCGGGCTTAAAGAAAACATTTCATGTTTAGCATTGAAATGGGTGAAGACTGAGGGACTGTAAGGGGAAGGGCATAATTACATGTTCTTTCAATTGGTCCCTGAAAAATATTTCATGAAACCTGATATTTGTAAGAGCCATTGTAACTAAATTAAATGATTAACCATAAATAAAGATTCCTTACATGTGTCATTTGCCAGGAGTTGGGCATCTAAATACTCTTCCTCAGAAGAACCAGCCTCCTTGGGAAGCTCTTCTCTGTGGCTGGCAGCCTCCTGGCATTGTTTTAGGAGGGGCCAGGGCACTGCTTGCTGGCCATGCCTACTTTGCTTCCAGCTGGGGTTTGAAAATTATCCTTGAGAACCTAGTATCCTACAAGGTCTCTTCACTTCAAGCGTGATCTTCACAGAAGATGCTATTTTAGGGATCAGCTATTATTCCTCTTCTGGTTCTAATTTACTTAATATTTATTCATCCTTTATTTATACCCAGTGATCTTACACAGCATCTGAACTAATCCTCTGAGCTGCCCTGCAAGTAGAGAAAATTATCCCCTCCCCATTTCATACATTAAAAAATAATAACTGTTTCCAGGAAGGTGACTGTCTTGTCCAAAGTCATCCTGGCACAGATTCTTTGAGCTAAGGTTTGCAAAGCCTCCTACCGGCCTGAGGAACCAAAAGTGAGCCTGCATGGTCATGCGGCCACACTGAATAGTTAAGCAGCAGCAACCCATCACTTCACCTTTACAGCACAAGGAAGGATTTGCCTAATCATGGGAGTGGCCTGAGCGTAGAGGCCAGACGGGAGAGATGCAACCCAGATGCTTTCTTCACTTCCAGTAGAATCAGGGTTACTGTACAGATGCAGTTAAAGAATCAGTTCATTGTTGACGGCTTTTGTCCCACATTTCTCCAATGTAAAGAGTAAAATGCTAAAGTCGGAATAAAGTTATTCCTACACTAAGACTTCTGTCTCCCTAGAGTAGAGCTTTGAGAGCTTCAACTGCTTCTTAAGTGGTACACAGATGTGAATCACCCTCCTCTTGCTCTGAACAGAGCCTGAGAGCCCTCCTGTAGAGCTCCCATGAAACTGATATTGGCCCACCTGCCAAATCTCCAATGTGTCCCGGATCTGTACGAGGAAAGTAATGCTAGTTTTAATCTCCATCATGCTGGATTACATTAACTCCTTGGCCAGAATAGCTCAGTCATTTCTCATTGACCAAAGTTACCTTGGCAGTAAACTGTCATATTATATAATACTATAAACCAGGGCTCATTTACCTTGAGGCTGTATAGAAAATGAGGCCATTGGAAAGAAAATCTTGAGGCCTAGGAATGTTTGATTCTCTGTTGCTACCTCAAGGTATTGTGATATGCAAGAGTGCAAAAACACAGAATGGCGATGACTTGTGTATCAACTGGAAAAGGCCTTCTGGCTGCTCATCAGCTTTCCATTCTAACTCCAGATGTAGGGATTCTATTACTACAATAATTCAGAATGCAAATAGAAGAGTCTTAGGAGTCATCAATTTCAACCTCCTTTCACTTTGTAGGTGGGAGAACCAAGACCAGGAAAAGGCTGTCACTCAGCTAAAGAGTGGCAGAGTCACATGAGAAATTGGACTTCCGGATCCCCAGTCCATTGCTTCTCTCACCACATGATGTACTGACAGCTGGAAAAAAATATACAAAAGGATTGTTTTTCATAGAGAAGAAGTAGAGTTGTAATAATCAAAGACTCAGATTCTGTTCACAGAGTGACTCAGTTCTAATCCAATGACTCTGCTCTTTATTTTCCCCATTAATATAATGGGAATGTCAATGGTACATATGGTTCGAGGGGTTTTGTAAAGATTAAATGGGCTGATGTATGTTTACCATTTAGGATCATACTTGTCACCATAGTGATTCAAAGCAAACTGAACACCCTCTATATCCATTAAGTCACCTTCATGGCTTCCACTCTTTGGAACACTCATCTAAAGCTGAACTGTGGCTGTAACCCCTGCATGATCAGCACTGAACATCGATGGCAACCTATATCCCAGGAGAGACACTCGTTACTCTTTATGATGCCACCTTTTCTCTCTATACTTCACTTTTTTACGCTTTGCTTTCTTATATACTTAATTTCTCTGTTTAGTAATATTCAACCTTGTGTTATATCATGACATTGCCAAAATTCTAAAGTCCACTGTAGAAGTTGGATAAAAGTTATTCCTACGGTAAAACGTCTGTCTCTCTAAAGTAGAGCTTTTAGAGCTTCAACTGTTTCTTAAGTTAATATCAACACAATGAATTAGATAAAGGCACAGGTGTACAGAACAGTGTTTAGACATTTAAAGAAACATATAGGTTTTATAAATCTACATTGCTCATTTTTTTATAAACACATTTTAAAAATCTAAATCATTCTTTTTGTTCCCCCCAGAAGACAATTTAGAAAATTACCTTCAACTTTAACTTGGATGTTTTCCAACTCAGTAGGCCAGTACACTTCCTCAGGGTATATATCTGGACTGATGAAGGCCCCAGAGTCAGTCTACTTTCCATAAATATTTATGGATCCTCCATTGAGATTGTAGCCCTGAGCTAGAGACATTAGCCTGTCCTTGTCTACGGATACTCTGTTTAAAAAAACTGCAGAGAAATATGAGCCAGACTCTCAAGATATCATATAAAAATGAATTTTTAGTCAATAATAGAATTATGTACATTGTAAATCAGAGGAAGAAAAGTTATCCATGCTGAAATCCATGCAGTTGGAACAGTTGAATGCTTTCTGCTGAAGTGAGAGACCTATATTTTCTCAAGCAAAGGTCAGCATCAGTCCCTCCCCAGGAAGGCACAGATCCACACCATTAGGTTGATAAACAAGCCAAATGATTGGGCCCACTCTGAGCAGCCCCTGCTCCATCTCTGCATTTTATAGTAGCCATGCTCATTTCCAATAACCCAATTTACTTCTAAAAAGGCAGTGTAGTCCTGCCTGGAAAAGGAAGGGGAGGCATGCTTGTCTTACTTGTGACTCCTTCCCTTTGTCACAGGTTTCATAGGAATGTCTATTGATGGCTTCTAATCTCTTGGCTTGTACTTGCTTTTGCTTTCCCTGGAATACTCTGTCTGCTAGCTAGCTGTCTTAATTAGGATCCTAACTTCCTATGGTTTCCCAATAAAGGTGATGGAGGAGCACAGAGGCAGTTAGCCACAGACACATTTGCCCTGGGCCCTTTGAATAGGCTAAGATAATTCCATTCCTGGTCTTTCTTCTCAAGGACAACAGATGAAAGGACATGGATAGCGCTTGTGACTCTATGGTCTTGTTCAGTGGAATGTGAATAACTCAGGAGGTCTGTGTAAAGGGTCAGAGGAAGGGAAAAAAGAACCGCAGATAGAACTGCTTCAGGCTGCATCATTAGCAGACAGTTACGACTTGACAGGTTAAGTCTTCTTTGTTCCTTCTGAAGAGGCACAGTGGACTGCTGGGATACACCCAATCCTTACCTTTAAAACTCTTGAATATTCTTACTCAACTGCTTCAGGAGGAACCTCCACAATACCAAGTTACAGGGAATGAGATGTTGGCCACATCAACACCTACATATTTGTTGCTCACAAATGTTTCTGTTCCTCCCAACCCTTCCCCTCCAATTTCTCTCTACTCGGGACTATTTCCTGCACCCCATAGCTCTCTCCTGCATACCTGTCTGACTAGGATTCTATCTCCAAAGACAGAACACAATTAGTGGTAATATTGAGGAAATGGCCATCAGGTCCTGTCATACCATTTAGCCCTGTCTGCAGCCTTAACTTTGTAGCCCATAGGCCTAACTTACTGTCATTATCTCCCTCTACCCCCACCCCCCCTTTTTTTTTTTAATCCCAACCTTTCAGAGCAGGCTATAGTGGTCAAGGCATCCCACTAATTTGGCCCTTTGAGTTTCTAAATACTCCCCATGGCACTTTTCATTTGTCCAGACTTAGAAGGGTCAGTGGTGGAAGTGAGAGGTGGGGGAATGCTCACAGAGAAGCATGTCTATATATTTGCTCAGCAATAAGTATGGTACCTTTGGGTGCATGCTAATGGCTCTGTCTCTCTCTCCCCTACACAGGGCCTGGAGCAGTCATTGATGGTGTAAACTCGGCCTCTAGAGCGCTGGCTTGTCTCTGGCTGTCAGGGACCCTCTTTGCCCACTTCTTCATCAAGTTTTGATAAGAAACCATAGGTTCTCTGAGCAACGCCTGCTTCTCCATATCACAGACTTTAATCTACACTGCGGAGGGCAAACCAGTTTGGGCTTCTTTTTGTTTTTCTTTGTGTCTTTGTTTCTGATATTCTTTCTTGATTTTTCTTTTAAATTTTTATTCTTCAGTTTTGTTTGTTTATTTGACTTTTTTCCCCCAGTTTCAACAAGTGGGGTTGGGGGAGGGGAGGGCAGGGTTCTACCATGTTTAGGCTAATCATTCATTGGTGTGTCCAAAAGTGGAATCTGTTCCTGCTCCCTGGGCTCTTCCCTTTCCTCTGCTTCCCTCCCCATCATCATCGCCACCACCAACCTCTCCTGTCCCACATACCAAAACATGAGCTCCATTTGGGCAAAACTGTGCCTCATGATAAACACCATGAAGACACAACTTGACTTATAATGTAGTGCACAGCAAGAATTGTATCCAAGTGTCCTATTATCTGTGTCTTTTAAGCTTTGGACCGTTTTCCTGATTACATTGTACATATCCCTTTCTCCATGTTTATTATTATCTAAATACATTAGGGTTCACATGCTTTCTCTCTGGGAAGTTATCTCAAGATACTCATATCTATATATACATATATGTATAAAATCTTGCATCTTCTCTAGGTACTCTGCTCTATATGCATTTCTCACCAGCTACAGGGATTAGACCTTTGAAGCTATTCACACTACCCCATACTAAAAATTTAGAAGTCAAATGACCAAAAAGGGGGTAGACATTTTGAGGATAGTATTTCCCTTAAAAAATGCTGTTCAGCTCATACAAAATGATTCATAGATGGCTGATTGTTTAGGTTTATCAAGCTATCTATCAAAGTAATCATACAGTTATCCATCTACTCAATTGTCTGATTTTCCTCTCCATTCAATTATCTATCCACCCATCTTTCTCTCTAGTAACCTATTTATTCTATTTGTCAATCCATCAATGTAATTTTCTAACACTTCTTTCTATTTCTTTCCTCACTGCTCACGCTCAATTCATCACCTCATTAATGTCTAATCATATTGTGTCTTTTCAATTGTATTCATTTCTCCTCTACCTTCAGCAGACATTGGCATCTTCAAAATTACCTATCAGCTTCTTATGTGAAAGCCAATGATCTCACAGGCTATCAACATAGAAAAGCAATATGTCATGGACTTTTTGGAATGTGATATCCCATCCACCCAACATAGATGCTGTTAATGGATGGACCAAAGTAGAATTCTAATGATCATTCACTCACTATTCCCAGAAGAGACTGTGTTTCCACAACCACCTTCTTGGGAAGTCAGCTGACCCTGGAGAAGCCTTGATTGCTGCGTATTTTTCTTTTTTTCTCACTTGAAGGGCCAACATGCCAACCTTCCTGCTTCTCTCCTCCTTTCAAGAGTGTGTATGTCAGGAATCTATAGGATTTACCCCAAGGCTGGCTTCTCTTAATAACAAGAGCAAAGAAGAAAACAAACACACCTGACTGTGGAACGTAAAGAGAGCAGTCCACCTGTCTGAGTGCGATGACTTCAGCCACTGTCTTCTCTCTGCTCCAGTTTTAGTTGAATCTGTTTGAAAACTATCCAGTAAAAAGCCAATGAGGCCAATTACATGGTGGGTGTGTTGACAACTCTGATGTTTGTATCAGAAAGCTCTTCTGGGCTGAGGAGGGCACTTGAGCAATCGACTTAATTTCTAAGCACGTGATTAACACAACACTGCAAATGGGGAAAGTGGAAGTGACTCACAATTTCCTCTGCTATAGGCTGTTGCTCCACCAGCTCTGGGGCTGAATATCCTCAGCTCTTCAGCTCAAAGCAGCCCTAGCATATAAACAGGAGCTGATCTGATCTTTCTACATTATCTCCTGGGACAAGTGAGGATCCTGTGATCTAGGAGAATGGCATTGAAAACCACACAAGGCTGTGCTTCCCTTCACCTCTGCTGCAGGGACTTTCTTATGGAGAGGGTGAAAAAGAAGCATCCACAATGACTATCTCACACACCTACCCTGACTCAACTGGGAACCTCTTTCAGCAAAATATATAATAAATATGTGTGTGGCCACGTGCATATATAAAATACAAACCTTTTTGCCTTGGCATACAAAAACTTAGGCACTTTCATAAGAGTTAGAGCTTGTGCGAGTGAAATTAATATTACATTTGCCAGCTGTAAACAGACATCTGCATTTCCTAGCAAGCCACCAGGAGCCAGATTCTGGGAACATAAATGATGTGCCAAAAGCAGTGTATTGATTCCAAGTTCCAGGGACAATCATGAGCAGACATAAAGTCATAATTAAAAGTCCTACAGCAGTGTTTCATATCTGTCACCACACTGAACACCTGGAGTCGGGTTGGTGTCAGACGTTGGATGAGAATTAAATGTGTCATTAGAGTGGTCTACTGACCATCAATTTGATACTTGGGAATAAAATAAATGTAGAGGCTGTGGAGAGTTGGTGGTTTTGAAGAACAGGTCTTGAAACAGACAAGCTGTACATATCCTTCGGTCCTAGATGCATCCTAGAGGAAGGGGCCCACCCTCCTTGGGCCATGAAGACCACCAGAACCTTCTGAACAGGGCAAAGCTGGGCCTCAGAGTCACAAAGAAACTTCACATTGCCCTCTTCCTCTGGACACCAGGAAGCACCTCTGGTAGTTGCCTGTTTCAGCCACATTTCAGAGCGGGAACAGCCTACAGCCAATCCTCATCTATCCGGGATTAAAAAAAAAAAAAAAAGTAAATAAGACCCCAGGAAAATTGGCACTGGGAAAGAAAATTGCTCTTCCTCACAACAGATGTCCCCCAGATTCTGTGTTTGGGTTACTTTGGTGGGGATGGCTCTATATGACAGTAGGTCTTCCCCAACAGTTTGAAGCATACTGGACAGCAAATGCTCAGTTAAGACCATATCCACAGGTGCACGTGATCTTTCAACTTTACATTTGGAGGGTAGATGGATAAAGCCTGCTGAATATATATTTTTTCAAGGTGTCCATGGTGGGGATGGAGAAGGGGTAAAGGAGGTAAAGCAAACAAGTCTCTGAGCAGCCTATGGTTCTTTGCAGGTTTTCTCTGGGAAGTAATGCTTATCCGGAGAGTAGGTGAGAGGAATTCAGCAATGCAGTTACTCTGAAACCATGCCCCTTTCCCCAGATACAGTTGAAATGGACTTCCACCAAAGTAATGCCAATGAAAGTGCTAGTGTTAAGATTCTGGTCAAGCTTGTTTTCTCAGAAGTTTAATGTCAAGTGCCTGATATAGTCATGTGCAAGTCTAAGCAAGTGCTTTTAGTTTTTCTCATTTGTGCTTTAACTGGGGGAGAGGAAACATACAGGAGAATGGTGGTGAAACATGTATATGCTTTATGCAAGGATTGCACTGTGCATGATTGTTCTTCTGCAATTGTGCTCAGCTAAATAGAAGGAAAGGTAAGGCTTTGTATGAAAAAGAGGTCTGGGCCTCTTTCATTTGAAACCAGTGCCTCATACTAGAAGGTATCTTTCCAAGATTGGGCAGTGAGTTCTCAAGACCTGGGTGGAAAGTGTGCTCTGGAACCCTAGAAACTCTATAACCAAGGATGAAGTTAAGAATCTGTTTCTGATCAACCCAGTTGCCTTGCACTCAACATGGAAGAATTAGCAAGTTCTACTTATGACAAAAGAACTCTTTCCTGAAAAGTGTAGAGAACCTCAAGGTGGGCAGTGGATCTGAAGAGAGTGTATTGCTGTCACTGCATCAGGAGTGGCTGTGACTTGAATAACCTGGTTTTGGTCGGTGCTTTTAATGCCACTAAGCTTGTCTTCTCTGTAGTGGTGTATGAGTGGCATCAGCCCATCAGTAGAAGGATGCGAGAAATGGCTCAAGATGAGGAGAGATATGGGGTGAGGAAATCCTTCCCAATTTCACTCTGTCTTAACCAGAGGAACAGTGGCTTTGCAGTACCTGGAACCAACCCTCCATTCTCCCCTCCCCCAAAGAAAATGACCCACAAATTTTTATTTTTTTAAAGAGAAAAGTTTAATCTCTTTAGAAATAGAAAAAATGTTCCTTCCTGAAAAAATGCATTTAAAAATTTTTTTTGTCCAATAAGGAGAATCTTCATTTTGCACAAGACCTATATCTAGAAATGCTTTTACCCACTTGCCTCCCCGTGGTATTATCCAAAGTTTCCCTGTGTCTTTCTTTTAAGACAAATACATTTGAGCAGTTGCAATAAAACTTCACAGGTGTGTAACTAGGAAGGCATCATTTTCAAAAAATATACCATATGATGAGAATGCCTAATGATCGCTAAAAGTAAACAAATAAAAAATGCCAGTCTCATTTCCCTCATTTCTTACTTAAGAGAAGAGAAGTAAATGAAAGGGGGAAAAAAAGATTTGCAATTTTTTAAAAAATGGCAAAAAGAGCTGAACGAGTGCAATTTAGCCTTCAGGTGCAGAATTCTGGGAGTCCAAAGGAATGTGGAGTGGACTCAATTAGGCCCAATTGTCTTCAACTTGAAAGTAGTCAGCCAAACCTAATTTCCCGCATTTTGAGAGATTCCTTTTTTGTGTCTTTCAAATGTGCCCTTTGGAAGGCACACAGTTGTTCCACACTACTGAGTGCAGGAAGAAAGATTGTGAACCTTCCTACTCTTTCTTGGCCACACTCTCTGCTGCTGGCAGATCTATAAGGACATCGATAATAGCAATGATAAGTAATAATAGCTGCCCTCGTGTTAGTTAGAGGGAGCGTTTTTAATCCTTCAAAAACTTTTGTGACATGTACAGTGCAATTGTGCGGAATGTGTGCGTGTACAAAAATGTTTCTGTCGAGTTCAGAGTCCCCTAGATTAAAAAGAAAAATTATGACTTATCAATAGTGCCGTTATAGCTATGTCAGACAATGGGTGTGCCCATTCTCATGATTATCCTTAAAGCAAATCTATGTTCAAATGCTTTAAAAGTTTATCACATGATACAAGAGTATAACTTTGTCAGCTTTCTAGAGTTCTTTTTTTTCTTCTTCTATAATTTTCTTCCCCATTTTTTTCCTTAAAAATCAATGAAGTCTTGATTTCTGTCAATAATTGTATTAAGGGTGAATATACTACCTGAATTTTGTGCATGTTACATTGTAGTTGTAACCTTTTCTAATTCAGGATGAACACACGAAATGGTTGTGATTGTGCAGTGTATCAATAAAATTCGAAGAAATTTGTAATTTGGGGGGGCTTGTTATTAGGCTATATTATTGAGCACTCAGGAATGGAGAAAAGTGAAGCTGACGATGTTACCCCCATGTATGTGATTTAGGCTTCGGGGAGTAGACACAATCAGGCATGCAAGTTCTCTCTCTCTCTCTCTCTCTCTCTCTCTCTCTCTCTCTCTCTCTCTCTCTCTCCTCTCACCCCAAGCATTCACACACATACAGCATGGAAGGCAGTCTAAGCACTTTCTCTAGTATACCTGTATCTCTAATATCTATGCCATTTACAAATACTATTAGATATACCTATAGCCCCAAAGCCTACAATATGTATTTATTGACCAAGGCTTCATGGAATCAGAAGAGAAGTTTCAGAAATATAATGGCCAGGTACTCCTCAGTTTGGTCACTCTATTCCTTAATCATTTCTGCTGTTTGATTCCACTCAACTGTGACAAGGATGAGTATGAGAATATATGGTGACTCTGATTGTCCATTTGTTCATAGACATATATGCTACTTTTATTGTTCTACATATTTGGTTTTACAATAGTATACTCATGGGTAACAGCATGAAAAGGAGAACTGGGAAAGAAGCTGCATCCCTCTGATTGCCTTCTCTAAAACATCTTTTTCATTAATACTCTAACTCCTCTGCCTTCATTACACACATATCTGACTTTCTGAAGGGATGGATATAAACCCTCTTGTACACTCAGCTTCTCTATCAACTAGCCCTTCCTATTTCTGCCAGTAACTACATACCTGACATTGACTGGCATTTGGCCTTCCTAGTGTTTGTTTCCTTATCTGTACTATTTGCAAATTTGCTCCTCACAGCTTGTTTTAGTTCACAACTCTGGCAATTTTGGTTCCTCTATCAACCACTGGATTTCTCAAGACTTGCTTAAATAATGCTTAAAACCAATGTCTGTTTATGGCTTGTGAGTTTAGCAGGAAAAGGGTTAAGATTCTCCTGTTGATATTACAGCATGGCTAGCACCTCTGGCCAAGAGTTAGAGTCCTGAGGCTTGTTTTTTCCTGGCTTTCTAGGTAGACAAGGGCTCCTCCCTGACTTTTCCTGACTTTGTCTCCTTCACAGGGAATGGAGCACAGATAATGTGATAAACTAGGTCATATTCTTTGAAAATTAAAATACCAAGGAAATGGTAGGTACTGATGGATGCCTTTCCAATTTCCTCATGCTCATTGTAAAATCATGACTTGTCAAACAAATACATTTTCAAGCCCTTTAACCATCTTAATGCCTTTAGTGCTTCTTCTCCTATCTTCATTTTATGATTCCTCTTAATCATCCTCTTCCCATCCACACCTGACCCTCTCCTGCTTCTGCTCATACACGTTGAAATGTTTACCCATCTGTCTGTTCTCCTGCTGGCACAGACATTTACTGGTCTTTCACTCCATCTGGCCACTTAGCTCAATCAATCATCAATGTACCAATTTACTTCTCCATCAGCTAACCACTCACCTATTCATTCACAGATTATGCCCCCCATTTATCGAACCCTTATTCCATCTATACACTCATGCACCTCCTTAATGTGACTGCTCCTATCTATTTGTTTAAGCCATCTATTCGTTCCTCATCTGTCAATCCATCTACCAATCATCCTTCAGATAGCCTTTGGCAGGCATCCCTATTTACCAAGACACTTCAAGGTAATGGAAATCCCTGCTGTTATTTTTCCGTTCCACAAGAGAGGCTTTATCTAGTTATTTTCAAGCACGGCAGCTAAACAATTAGATTACTTTTTGTTATTTATTTATTTTATTGCCTAAAATACACCCTATTAAAAACATATACATAGAGGATTTCTTTAGGAAATATACTCAAGGCATTCTTATTGCTAGCAAGTTGTATTACAGTTGGAGGAGGATGGAGAATTGGGAGTAGAAACCCCCAGATGAGCACATGCTGATGTTCAACTTCCAGCACTAGGCATGCAATGAGCATAACAAATGATTGAAGAGACAGGCAGGAGAGACCTCAACTGGCAACGACCTCTTTTTTGCTAGTTGATTGTCTGTTAAATAAGTTATTCATTTTTATGAAAATTAGGGAGCATAATGAATTGGTATGAAACCTTAGGTTTACTATTGAAAAACAAAACCCTAAAGCTAAAAATAATGCTACTTTCTTTTAACAGGTTCATCTGGTCATTAGGAATGTTTTTTTTCTTTTATTTTTCCATTTATTCATTCATTCATGCATCACATTTAGTGAGGAACATTCCTTAAGGAACTCACATCTGAGAGGTAAAAACAGCTCTATAAAAAGAAACATTATAGTATAATATTGCAACTATACAGATAAAGCTATGAGAAAATGACTACAGAGGGAGCAGATAATTGGGAAATTATTGGAAGCTTTTTTATTTTCTCCACTTTCCCCCCAGAGAAGAAAATCTGGGATATAGACAGCTACTAGAGGCAATAGATATGATGAACAGATATATTACCACAAAAGTTAATATGGTACGAGGACCATGGCGCATGCAATGTTCAAGTATTTATTGATGTAGTGAGCACATAGGTGTTGGTTAGGTGAGCACCGTGAAAAAGGTTAAAACAATAAATGGCCAAAAGGGCCTCACTACAATTGGAGATGCAGCCCACTCAAGATCTCCCGGAGAGAAAGAGAACTTCTAGAATGTCAAATCCAGGCAACATATTAAATTTAATTCTTCTATGGGATTACTGAACATATATATTACCTTTCTTTGGGTCTCAAAGCTCCATGAGCCTTTCTGAAGAGGGAAAGGAGAAAAGGGAGATTAGGCGTGGGCATAGCAGAGACTTCCTGGGTGAGAGGCACAAGTTAACTGTGGACTTGCTGAATACTTTCCCCTAAGATGAGACTCTCCAGGTAAGAGTTGACTAACTCTGGGATTCATTTGCCTTTACATGTCTAATAGCATCTCCTATGCCAAAAAATAAAAATATGTACTTTTTTCCCCCCTCTCCATGATCTGCTGTATCCCATAAGACATTTTCTTTTATTTTTTACCTGAAGTCCTCAAAGCAAGTATTTTCTCTACAGAGACAGAGTATAATGTAGTTTGGGGAAATTTATTTCTAAATTCTGACCTAACAAGTTCTGTTATGTTGCCTTCAACCAATTTCTTATTCTGCCTGAACTTTAGCATCTTCTTGGTTAATCTAATGGTAATAATACCCACCTTAGAAGCCTGGCTGTGAGAATGATTACCTGTAAAGAAATAAGATGTTGTCCTAACCAGTTTGGCTCAGTGGATAGAGCGTCGGCCTGTGGACTGAAGGGTCCCAGATTTGATTCTGGTCAAGAGCATGTACCTTGGTTGCAGGTACAATATATCCCCAGTAGGGGATGTGCAGGAGGCAGCTGGTTGATGTTTCTCTCTCATCGATGTTTCTAACTCTCTATCCCTCTCCCTTCCTCTCTGTAAAAAAATCGTTATTAAAAAAAACAAAGCAAAAAGAAGTAAGAATGTTTAACATGGTGCCTGGTGCATATAGGTTACAAAATTAGCATTAGCGCCCCCCCCCCCCATTCCTTCCTCAGCCTTCCATCAAAGTCTCACTTTCCTGAGTCCCTATAAGATAGCATTTCAACTGTGTTTGCCTCTTTCAAAAAAGGAAGAAAATATATTTTCAATGTTATTTTTTATTGAAATTTAAAAGGAAGAAACACGTTTTTTGATTTCTGGATGCAAGCTTAGAAAACTTGATTTTTCGTAGACCATCACAGAAATGTTGAAAAAAATAGTGGGTCTTAATTTTCAATCTAAGAAACATGTATGCAGTACCTAATATATGACAAGTACTGAGACAAACATAAAATAGTGTCTAACTTCAAGAAAGTCCCAGCCCAGTGGAGGATTTAAAATTACAGCACAACACAGTAGGCGTAGCTCAAGGGCTGGAGGAACCCAACCCATAGAGGGCACATATGGAGACATCAGGGCTCAAGGAAGACTTGCAGAAGATGAGATGCCTGAGCTGAGTCTTGAAGGAACTGAAGGAATTAGCCATGAAAAGGGAGGGAAAAGGAGCAAGTGAGTAATTGCAAAGGCATAGCAAGGTCAAGAAGCTGCAAGTACAGATTATCCAAGAAGGGTGAAGGCAGAGGCATAGGGCAGGACAGAAGGTGGAAAGGGCGGACAAGAGCAAAAACCTTAAAAACTTTGCAGGAAATGCTGAGATGTTGGGGTTTGTCCTAAAATAGACCAGTAAACTGGTGAATATAATAGAATCAGGAGCATAGAAAGGGAATGAACTGATAATTTTCCGGGGAAAGGGATATGGGGGTGCAGGAAGAGACTGGACAAAAATTGTACACCTATGGATGAGGACAGGGCCAGGGGAGGTAAGGACAGAGGGTGGGGTGGGAACCGGGTGGAAGGGAGCTATGGGGGGACAAAAGGAGAAACTATTGTAATAATCTGAACAATAAAGATTTATTAAACTGTTAAAAAAAAAAGTGTGAAACAACAACAACAAAAATAGAGCAGGCATCAAAGGACTAAATCAGGAGCCTAGGTGGAATTCACACAGAGAAAGGTCACTATTGCAGGAGGGTAGACTAATGGGCATTGGTTATACTGGCAAAGGCAAAACATGTTAAGGGAAATTGAAATAATTCAGGTGAAAAAAATGGGAGTAATAAGAAGTAGCAGAAAAGTTGAAGTGATTGTTAGAGGGAAGATACATTGGGAAGGAATAGATGCACATGGTGATGGAGATATGGGGAATATTCCAGGTTTCCGATTTTGCCAATGTGGTGAGTTGTGGGAGATGGTATCTTCTATGATTCTGGAAACTAAGGAAAATGCAAAGGTTTCATCTGGTTCTTATATACCTTTTTAAGCATCCTTAGAGGTCCCAGGTGGAGGGGTTTAAGCACCATCAGAACTCTCCTGAATCATGTAATTATACCCATCCTCATTTGGAAGGGGTGCTGATTTTCTCCCTCCACCTCCTCTTCAGTTCCATGAGACTCCAGCTCCTGTGTCATTTGCAAGTCATTTCTCGTTGTCCATTTCCTGCATCTCCTGATTTTATCTTACAAAGGTACTCTTTTCATTGCTCATTGTGATGGCAGGGTAGAGAGCAGTCCTTGGATTCAGCAGACAGGAAAACAACTAACAGATGACTGAGCAGGGAAAGGGAAATTGGCATAGCTGTCCCACCACCCAGATGGGATCTGGCACTTCTCATGTCTTCCACTAGGGCCAAACCACCATTCCCTGTCTGGTGAGAGAATGGCTGGGCTCAGCGAGTGTTTGGATGTGTTTTATTACAATCCATCTGCTTTGTTACAGCAAGGCAAGTCCTCTTACCATATAATTTGATGATCACTTGCTTGTGAACACATTTTAGAAAAGTTCTTAAGCTTCCAAACCTCATTGGAGAGCTACTTCTGACTCCATTTGAATAATTCAAGAATATAGATATACTTCTAGCTTTGTTTAATTCTCCTCCGGCCCCCTCCCCCCCCATATTCACAGAGTAGCTCTCCTAATACTAGGGAAGCCTGAATCATAGCCGGAAGCCATGGTGCCTGGCTGGCTGTCAAGGCAACACAATTTTCCAGGTGGCCCTTCAGTGTATGTGAACACAGAGCCATGGGAGTTTGAGCTCATGTATGAGCATTGCTCTGAGCTGAGGCAGCAGGATCTGCATGTGAGGGAGAGGTGAATGTACACCCAGATTCTGTCATACATTAGTGCAGCCTCTTACAGCCAAATGTGCTCACCTTCAAAGTAGAATTAGTAACTATACCATGACACTGCTGTGAGGTGTACAGTAGAAGATGCAGTACAAAAGGAACTGGCAAGCTTCTGGAATATAGATGCTTAGCACAAAGAGGCAGCCAATTACTTAATTTCTTTTCACCACCCTTTGCTCTGTCTTCTCCTTTGCCAATCCACCCCACACCTACCACACACGATAGTCTAGAAGGCATAGTGTAAGGTAAGAGAGGATTCTGTTCTAAATCATATTCTCAGGTTTGTTATTGGAATCGTGAAATAAAAATGTGTAGAGTGCCTAGCAGAGAATCCAGCTCTCTCTGTATTTTATATTATCTACTTCCTTCTAACCTTTTTTCTGTTTCTCAGCGTAGTCCTTAGGGCATAAGAAACCAACTACACAAGCACCCTGGTTGTCTATGGATGTCCCAGGCCTGAGACCCTGCAGGGTATGTAGGTGCTTTCACAGTTGGCTGTCCCTGAGGAAGAAGGCAAGCTGGGCTCTGCCAGTGGAGCCTGCATCTCTTGCTCTTGCTCTTATTCCCTGCCTGGTGCATTTGCAAGGACGGTTGCTCTGGTTACAAGACCAAGTCAGTTTCCGTCTCTTCTCAGTAAAGGTCTTTGGGGAATCCACTTGTTAGAGAAGTAGTAGCTGCATGGTTGAGTCAGTTGGGACAGTAAAGAGACTTATCGGAGGTCCTCGGCTACAAAGGCACCAGCTCTCTTGAAGCCAGAGTCTCCATCTCAGTGCTACACAGGCAGCCCAGACAACCTGACTTCTCCCCTTGTGAGATGGCGGCTCCAGGACCTGAGTCGGTGTGCTTGTTTGACTGTGTCCCCTTTCATGTCAATGTCTCCTCGAGTTCCTCACAGAATTCCCTGCTGCCCTGCCTTGCTCTCTCCTGCACTGATCTCTGTTCTGTGGGTAGTATCAGCTCTCTTCAACTGCCCCTTCCCTCCCCTTAAGTCTTACCTTAAGGTTGTTGAAACTGCTGAGGAAGAGAATAACACAAGGAGCAGAAGGGGCTATTGGAGATGTGTGTGTGTGTGTGTGTGTGTGTGTGTGTGTGTGTGTGTGTGTGTGTAAAATTTCTGTTGTGTGAATATTATCTTTGTTTTAGCGCAGTGATATCCACAGGTTAACGTATTTCAGCAGACCCATTCCTTGCACCATAGCATGTGACAACAGCAATGTGTGTGCAGGGAGGAGGCAGGTGAGGATGGGAGCTGAGGAAGGGCCAAAAGCTGCTAACATTTATATGTTTATGGAAATCATACATGTAGCAAGGAACTTTCCCAGGTATAGATTCATGTAACATTGGAAACAGCCTCATAAGCAATGTGTTGCCCTCACGGAACCTCCGAGGACACCGCTAGAGGTTAGCAGGCTTGGGAACCCAGTTCAAGATGATCTGATTCCATATGGCATGCTTTTCCCAGTTCCACACCAAGTTGCCTGCCATTCTCAGGATTGACCCCATGTTCCCAAGTGCACTGGGCTCTCTATTAATAGGACACAAGACAAGTCCTGTAAGTGTTTCTTGTAAGTTCATCTTCTTTGTGAGCTTCCAGAAAGGAAAGTGGTAGGTGGCATGGAAGGTGGGGGAAGTGGTACTATCTCTTGAGAAAACTACCACCAGAGACCTTCTGGCTTCAGGGGTCAGGCCTAGAAAATGGCTGGGCTCTTCCACACCTATCCATTCCTCTTTCGCATTGAAAACATGCCCCTGGTATTATTGGCTCAACTATTCATGAGTCTGAGAGACTCAGGGAAGCAACAGAGAATAAGGAAATTAAATCCTACAAAGAAGTTAGAAGAGGAAATAATTTAATTCCAGGCTCTAAGTACACAATAGAGTGGCATGTGAGTAAAAGGCAATCACTTCTCTTTGTTTTCTGGTTTGGACAAAACAAGAAAAATCAACAAAAATCAAAGCCTAGGAAAATAGAGTATGGACAATGAAATATAGAATACATTCAGTCAAATATAAGTCCTTTCAGGCAAGAGGGAACTATTGATTTAAATAAATATAAATGTATATCTATGCAAAACTATCTACCTACCTATCTACCAACCCAGTCATCATCTATCCTCTGTCACCATCCACTACACCAAACTCAATGACAGCAGACAGTTTGTGTTTGCTGTTTTCCAAAACATCTACAATGGTGCCGAACTCACAGTGAACCACAGAATTTGTTAAATGGATGAACCCAAGGCTTTTGAGCAGAGGCCTCACAGAGATATTCTGGGCAGAGTGGAAGGGAGAAAGTCAACACCAGTAGGGAGGAAGTGGGGAGGTAAAGATCTCTGTGTGGTCCATTTGTGTAGTCATGAGGGTCTGATGTAGGAGATAGTAGTGAGCCGGAAAGCATCATACAGATATGAAAGACATTGAGGAGGAAGAATCCATGGTATCTACCTACTTATTTCTTTGTCTGAAAGGAAATGGGTGTTCTTTCTTAATCATGTTTTTCTGTTGGCATATTTTGTTTGCCTGATTCTCTTGACAGTAAAGCTGATTTTTTATTTCCATAAGTGTTCATGTTTTAAGAAGCTTTGGCTTCACCTTTGAGACAAATGATCTTACTAGTACAATACAAAAGCTGATGGCTTGCCTAGCAAACACCTAGCTAGTTAGCACCCAGATGGAGCTGGTGTCCAGTCTCCCTGGCTGCTAGACCTTGGCTGGTCATTTTTCCTTGCAAATCTGCTTCTGTCTTGATTCCAGAACCATCATGACCCTGTACCCCACCTTCTGCTCCAGGAAAGTCAAACTTTTATAATATGCCCTCAAATAGTTTTTCTTTGTGACCTTCAAAGGTCAATCTCTGTCCACCTTCATATCTTTCTCAGAGGACAGGGAGGACTTGGCAGGAGGAAAGCATTAAATTGGCCCCATTTCCCATGAACCATCATGAATGAAGACTGCAGAGGGCAATGTGATAAGGAGGTGAATTAGATCCAGGCCTTCACACTAGGGGATTCCCAACATCCATGGCCCTCTTTGTAAGAGCACCTACTATGTGCCAGCAGCATACTGAGTCAAATTTTAGGAGTCTAGTGGCATTAAATGTGGTCCTGGCCACCTGGGAGTATAGGTTGGAATTAGAAGGACCACGCTCATGATTATATGTTTAAAATGGTAAATGGTGAGGCACAGTCCTTAGGTGAGGTGAGGTGACATCCCATTGGCAGTAAGTTTGGAGGGTGATTAAATCAAAGAGATGACTAGGTTAACATGCCTCCCATTTCTACCCACAGGCTTTCCCAACCAGGGAAGCTCAGGGAAGACTACCTGAGGGAGTGAAGCTGAGAGAGAAGCCAATCCCCCTCCCTCCCAGGCCCAGTGCAACCAGTAGCCTCAAGGGGTCCATTGTTCTCTCCTCATAAACTATAAACAGCACTTACCAAAGGGAGAGAGAGGTCCAAATAACTGGGCTGGGTAAGCGCCCAGCTGCTTCTGTCCTCAAAGCCACATCAGTAAACAGCACCGCAGCAATCAATTTGGCTTTTTTGATGAAGACAAAACCATAGAGGAAAACCATTAGGAGGGGTAATAAAGGGCCTTCTTGTACAGTTAATAG